ATTGCTTTGTCTTCTTTCAGAAGATTGAGCTGCTTTATTCAACCTACTGGAGTTGTCAGGTGACTCGACAGCTACGGATTTAGGATATGCATTCTGTTGCAGACAACGGAGAGTGAAACACGATGATTGTGCCAATTAAACAGTTTCTTTGTTAATTTAATTCGATTGCAAAATAACTCAAATGAACTGTCGTCAAGATTTGACAGACTAGTTGGCAGTAATTCATAGTGTTAAAGACGTTTGTGAAATTATTGCTAACGTGGATGATATCAATGTAAATGGGAAGCAAATGCTTTCCTTAGATGTAGCATCACTGTTTACCAATGTACCACTTATGGAGACTGTGGAATTCATATGCCAACAGATACTAGAAAAACAGATCGACATCGGAATTCCAGTTATTAGTCTGAAAGAGTTGCTTTTAAGATGTACTATGAATGTACACTTCGCATTCAACAACCTTTACTATAGGCAAATCGACGGTATTGCCATGGGTTCTCCATTGGGGCCAATTTCGGCAGATTTCTTTCTTGCCAAGATTGAAAATGGTCCATTGAGACAAGTAATAGAGAAAACCGATTCTTATTTTCGTTATGTTGATGATACGTTTATTATTCTTGATGTGAAAGCTGACAAGAATGAAATGTTAAAAAAGTTTAATGATGCACATCCATCGCTCATCTTCACTTGTGAAGAAGAACATGATGGTAGACTACATTTCCTTGACGTCCAATTGAGCAGAAGAGAGGATGGTTCACTCAAGAGAGATGTCTATAGAAAACCTACATCTGTAGGACAATATACACATTTCCTCAGTTTTGTACCAATCCGATACAAAATCAATTTGGTCAGATGCCTCACGAATAGAGCAAGACGTATCTGTACAGATGACTCCCTAGAAAATGAGCTAGGATACATCCAAAATACGCTGGTCCAAATGGGTTATCCTAGTAGATTTGTAAGGAGACACATGAATACCAGGTACAATAAAGAAAAACTGACAACAGTTGAAAAGAAACAACTGTTCATGAAACTGCAATTTAATGGGGACGTGGCTAGCGAAGTCTTACATCTGAGATTATCGAGAGCGATAAAACGGACTTATACTGCCGCCACCCTTTGTTTGTCATTTTCCAGCCGACCAATTTTGATTGCTCAAGTGAAAGATAAGCTACCTACCTAGCTGTGCCACTTCGATGTGTATCTATAAATTTAGTTGCTCCTGTGGAGAAAGCTATATAGGGCGAACAACTAGACAGCTTAACAAACGCATTAATGAGCATCTTCCTTCATGGTTCGGAAAAGGTCAAATAAAATCCATACGAAGTTCTATTTTGGCTCATTTGATTGATAGCGGTCACCAAGTGGACAAAAATAGTGCCTTCAAAGTTATCTATCGCATTCCATCGAGTCTTTCGAACGGAATCAGAACCCGTCTTTTACACTTAGCCGAAGCTATGGGAATTAATTCGAGAGAACAATCCTAGTCTTTGCATACAAAGGAAGTTTGTTCTACCTTTGTCTCTCCCTTGCTTAGCCTAGGTGAATTCTATTCAAAACCCTCCCACCCTTTCTTATCTTCCATTTCCTTCGTACTTTTATGATATTTATTTAAACTCTGATTATCGTTCCACTTCACCTTTTAAGATTTGACCTAATTTATTTATTTATTGAATTGTCTACATATACACATGTATACATATACTACCTTTGTTATTCTTATCGCCACCTGCATAAACCTTATTATCAATATTTTGTTATCATTATAATCATCGTTATTAATTTCGTTCAAAACATTTACCACATTGTTATTATTATTATTTGATCCACAAAATCACCGTCATTGGTTAAAATTTTTTATATATAAGTCTATGTAAATTAGAGTAAAGCCTGAGAAAGATTTAATTGAAAACAATATTGTTCGCTTATATGTCTTGTTCTAATATTATAAATGGGAATATTTAAAGATTTGAAATTAAGAATCTATTATTCAACAAATATTTAAAAAAGAAAATGGAGATGTTTCGGACACACACTGAGGGGACAATCGGTTGATATTGCACGCCAGGCATGAAACTCTAGTGGAACCCGAATGGGAAACATCGAGGTGGACGTGCATTTAAGGATGACATAGAGTAGGTGGTGTGAGGAGTCTATGAGAGATTATGAGCAATCATAGAGCCAGGTAAAGAGGACCGCAGAGAACAGGACAAATCGGGGATGTGCTGTTGAATAATAATAATATAACATAAGCAAGGACTTTATTGAATAAAGTTCCTATAAATGATTACGAAAGACAAAATCAATCAATCTCTGGGTAAAGGTAGTAAATGTGAGCCCCACTTTATGTGGCAAAAGTAAAGTTTGAAAGTTGGACTGCATTTAATGAAAATTGTTATCTAAATTCATACTACTCATAAGTAATGACAGTTAATTTAATAAAACTTACACTGAATTATAAATGTATGTGTGATGAGTTCACTTACGAGAACCTTCTTCACAAAACCTGTGATTCGTATGAACGTGAAGTATAAGCTACCACCGTTGGCCAGCCTCATCAATGTGCATCTACCAATTCACCTGCTCGTGCGGAGCCGCCGTTCGCTTACCAAAAGTATCACCGAACACTTACCAACATGGCTTTACAGAGGAGAAAATCGATGCCCCCACAGCTCTATCTTAGAACATCTGATAGATTCCGGACACCAAGCTACACCCACAAACAAACTTCGAAGTCGTCAACAGAATACGAAGCAGTCTTCCTAAAAGTGTACGAGTCAAACTTCTCCAAAGTGCAGAAGCAATGGTAATTCACTTGCTAAATCCTGAACTCTGCATACAGAAGAAGTTCGTTCAATCACTACACTTGCAATGGACGTAATCTATCTTATTACCTGACGAGTAAATTCTACCTAATCTCTTTTTTCTTCTGTCACTTCATTAGTATTATTTTGTGTTTAAAATTGTAATATTTTACATTTTCAACTTTTCTGTTCTCTACCCCCACCCGATTTAATTTCTACACCTCATTACCGCTGTTACTGATTTGAACAACACTCAATTCCTAGTCATTTATGTTATGTCATCCAATTTATTTGCTCAATTTTAGTCCTAATTTAAATGGCATTATTCTCTACCCCACCTCTACTTAATATCTACCTGTAATTACCTCTGTTGCTATCCTGACCTAAGTTGAAACATTTTAGTCAATTATATTACGTCATCTAACTACTTCATATCTCCTAATGAAATACTCTGGATAAATATTATAAACAAGAGTTTGTGTCAACTTTCCTTCTTCCTCATTAAGTGTGTCTTCAGTGCATATTCGTTGGATTCTATTGAAGAGGCAGCTTAGTAAGGCTCTTTTGTATCGAACAGGGCAGAAACTGTGATAACTGAGATACTGTCCTGAATACGACACTGTTTGTGGAAGCCCTAACTGGCAATTAGGAAGTTTAAACCATCTTTATGCGTTCAACGCAACAATTCGTCATCACACTAATAAACCTTCCTTGGTAAACTTTGTTTTGATACCAGCCATGGTAGATGAACTGTTACCTCTGTTATTTGGTTTAGTGATCTTCATTGTTAAATATATATATATATATATATATATATATATATATATGAAGATATATTCATGTCCAACCTTGAAAGAACAAAGATGAAGCATGCAATCGATGAAACAACTTCCTAATGTCGATATGTTGATGACACATTTATAGTGTGCAACAATGAAAGTCATGCTTCACACTTACTCAGATTATTCAATGATGCACACACCAATATTGAGTTTACTATGGAACATGAAAGTGGCGGAAAGTTCCACTTCCTCGACATTGCCATGAAACGCCTAGAAACGGTAGTCTTCAGAAGTCAATTTATCGAAAGCCTACATGGAAAGGACAATACTTACATTTTAATAGCTTTTGTCCAAATAGCTTTAAACGCGGACTAGTCAAGACTCTGTACTATAGAGCGAGGAGAATATGCTCTATAGAGAAATTAGAGGAAGAATTTGAGTTTCTTGAAAAGATGTTGAAGAGCAATGGGTACCCTCAAAGATTCATCAACAAGTATGGAAGATCTGAAGTCACAAATGTAAAACAAATCACAGTGGGTAAAAAGCCAATCTACATTCAGCTTGATTATAAAGGTGAAAACATTGCAGCAATGGTCAACAGAAGACTGAGTACATCACTAGCCAGAGCCTATCCTGCAGCTAAGCTGGTTCCCGTCTATCGAACAACTTGCTCTTTGGTGCAATCAAAAATCGATAGATATCCTTCTCATGTTAACTCCAACTGTATATACAAATTTATATGTATCTGCGGGAGCAGTTACATTGGAGAGACAGAAAGAAGGGCATATCTACGATTTTCTGAACATGTACCAAAAAGCTTATGTCTAAAGGGAACAAATACTTTAAACAGTGCCATCGCCAGGCATCTCCTTAACACGGGTCATGAGGTGGACGTCGCAAAATCGTTCAAAATTATCAATAGGCAAAAGAGCTCAATTCTCCTCAAGTTCGCGGAAGCAATCTCCATTAAAGCGCCTGAAACCTGATTCATGCATTCAGAAAGAAGCGGTTATCAGTCTTTCTTTGCCTTGGTAACTGGATATTTTTCATCTCTCTTTCATCTGAATGCGTAATGCTGAAAAGTTTCCATTGTGTATGATTATTATTGTTCGGAATAGTGTTTAATATTGCATATATATATATATATATATATATATATTATTACTGTATGCATATATTGATCGATTGATTTTTGTTTAAAATGAACTCTGTGCAAGTATGTTAAAATTGTTTCTGTAGATATACTTAATAATGACTTTGGCCTGTAAGCAGCTGACGAGAAGGCAACGAAATAAAAGATGGTACCATTTTATTCTGCAAAAACTGTAGTTCTTTCTTTGTTCAAATTCATTAAGGGGAATAAATGTATGAAATATATATATATATATATAATAATAACGATTGGTCAACGTACCTATGTAGTCATTTTGCCCAAAATATGCCCGATGTGGAGCCCACATATCTCGTGGTTTAAATTCCGGTAGAACAACCGGTTTATCAGTATAATCCAGTCTAGGCAGTAGACCACCATCGTACATCCGCGGATTATATCGTATATTGACTGGTTTCGGTTGCATATACGCCTCAGCTGAACCTCCACTAGTTCTAGCGGCAAGTTGACGGCTAGGCACACGTACAACAGTTTTCATTCCTGTGTCTACTTGCTGACAAACGGTAGGACATCCTGGTTCCTCATTAGGCTTTACACCAAGCCTACTCCAATGTTTTTCATTATTTGTTGGATATTTTGTTGAAGTAGATTTAAATTTTGACAATAATCTGTTCAACTTTCCTGTATGCAAAAGGAAGTCATTGGACCAGTAGTGAAACTGTAATCCTTTAGTAAAGACAACTGAAATTTTAAAAAAACGAAATGTTTACAAGAAGATAATATTTCTTCAATGATAAAAAAACTTCAAACTTTATCAGATAATGTAGGAGAAAGTACAACACTCAGCAAGCAAAATACATTTTCATGCAATAACCAGTGTTGATTGCACCTATCATCATCATGTGAAGGCTTTTGTGTCTGTCTGGATTCAACATAGAACTTGGCACCAAAGTGCAGCAGTTCGAGTTGCCACGTTCCAAATAGCACACAAAGGTAGACAAGAAAAAATGAGTGAAGAGAATCAATAGAATTTTGGCAAGTATAAGAGAATGAAATAGAATGAGTAATGCTAGAAAGGAATCTAAAAGATTACAGAGACTGAATACATCTGCGTAAGCCATTGACAACGATTTTGGGCCATGTCACCTATTGTCTCCAGCCATTGATTCTTAGAGTCCCAAGGGCCCCAACCCGGAAGTCTGCATCTCCCTACCTGACTCAGTTTAACTGTCAAGGATTTCATGGATTGGTGCCATGTTTTTGTTTGGCCACCACTTACTCTTTTCCAACCTGCACCTATATCAGCTAGTAATGTCCGCTTCGGCAAACTTGAGGAGAATCGGGCTCCTCTGTCTATTGACAATTTTAAAGGATTTCGTCATGAGATGGAAATCGCGAAATCCTTTAAAATTATTTCTATCAAACGCTTGAAACCAGATTTATGTGTTCAGAAAGAAGCAGTTATTAGTCTTTCCTTGCCCTGGTAACTGGATGTCTTTATTCTCTCATTCGATTACGTAATCTTTGGCTTTAACCTCACCCCTTTGACATAGTGTAATTTTGCTTGTCTCTTGTTTCTATGATTTGAGTTGAACTCAGTACATTGTTACCTAATTTATTAGTCACTCATCATCTTACGCATCTCTCGTCTTCATTGCATAACTCCTTTACCATTGTATGCATACATTTATTTTGTTTAATCTTGAACTGCCTGTGTGAAAACTATATAAGCGCAATTTTCTGAGCACTGTTCACTAATTGCGGAACCTTCTGTCAACTGACATCATGTGAAATTTGCAAGCGTGTTAAATCTTTTCTGTACATTAAATCTCATAATTTATTTAGGCTGTAAACAAGCAGCTGAGCTGATGAGAAGCCAACGAAGTAAACAATGATGGTACCATATTATTCTGCACAAACCACTGTTGTCCTTGCTTTATTTAAATTCATCAAGGGGGGAATAAATGCATGAAGTATAACATGAATAATGACAATAAATGGATGTCTGGGCATTTGGCTTCTAATCACCGAAGAACCCCCCCCCCCCGCCATTTCAGTATGGAACCTGAAAATCACAAGGATATAAATAAAGAGTAATACTTACTTCCTTACTATTACAAAAAGTAGGAACACAATTCACCTTGTTAACCAAGTTTTAAACAGACATTCAAACCTCACTTCAACCTACAGAAACTTGAACAATCCAGTTTAGCTTGTTGACAATACAATACTATTTCTTCCTATATAGCGCATTTGAGCTGCATTCATTCATTCATTAGTGTCGTTTAGCACAGTAAATATATAACCACAATACCATTCATCTGTGATAACACAAATTGTGAAGCAATAGGAAGAACGTGAGACTGAAGGTATTCACGTTCATCAACTAATTACTGTAAGTATTATGGCTGTGGGGTAACAGTGTCTTGCACAAGATCCCTCTGAAGACCGAAATTATTCAGATTACAACTTATGATCTACTTGTTACCCATAAGTGGTAATGAAGAAAGCGATCATAAATACATGGCACTATATACTACAACTCCTGAAATTGAGTTCAAACATCAGCCGATCAATTTCACTGTAGATACCTAATTTGCATGATAGATCAAAACCTAAGGAGAACAAGATAGGACGCAGAATAGACATAAAAAAGGATAAACACAAAAAACATCATACTGGGCAGTTGTTTCGTACTAGTTTGAGTCTCCTTAGCAATACACAACCATCAACCCACCGAGGATCGAACCCAGAGCCGTTAGGTTGAGAGGTGAGTCTATCGACCATTCAGAGATTCAGACAGGATCTGATGGCCTATGAAATTCGCAATTCATAGCGCCACTGACAGTCAATGTCGTAGGCAAGTATTTGTCGTAACACCCGACCTGTGGCCCCCAAATGTTCACACCACTTGTCACCAGAACTTCAGCAGTCAGTCACTGTAACTGCTATAAATTCGTGACTTATGGCTCTGGTGAGTCCGAAACTGGAACGAAACAGCTGTTCAGTACTCTCGTGTTTCTGCAGTCGTCCTCTAGCTTGAGAACAAATTTCTGTTTAATTAATTTTTAGTGAATATTTACCGTAGTGACCACAAATTTAGCATAGTTTACTCTTTTGTGAGATGCAAAGTAATAAAATGTCGGGGTTCAAACTGAGACTGGCATGCATTTTACACACACACACACACACCGCAACAAACAGCAGTTATTCAAAGATAAAACTTGATAACCACGCACTTGGCACAACAATAGGATCTGCCCGAGGGAAATTTATTATGCACAGACTTCGTGTGACGTCGCTGGCAAACATGTCCTTCGAAAGGTTTTAGGTGAAAAGTTAATCTCATAAAGATTATCTAATATGAAATAATACCAGAGAATTGGGTGATTTGACAACTGTTTCGCAAGAAAGTGATGAGTACGGTAGGAAACATGCCTAGCAATCATAGTCGATAGAGCTTCATCATAACTTCGTTGATTGACTTACCTACCTAACACTATAAACCTAACCTGATTTTCACTTACTGTATTGCTCAAGGCAAAACGAGAAATCGAATAGTAGCATTAGTGGTCAAGTCCTTCAGTCACAGTAGCCAAAGCCCACGGCCATATAGTAAGACATATGTGTCGTTTATTTAGTACACCCATATCACAGGTTAGAAAACGCCAAACGACTCTTTTCTATTCATCTTGGGATTTCATTAGTGTCCCGTATTCTTCAGGAATGATGCAACTCCCCAAATAAGTGCTATTTTGTAAGCATTTAATACCATTCCACTCGATAGCCTTAAACTGAGATTCGATACAGACTAGTGATCTAATACAACCCCTTCTACACTGGACACACCCAGACGTTCGCTCAGGGTCTTCTGCTGCTGCTGCATTCAACATAGAACTTGGCACCGAAGTGCAGCAGTTCGAGTTGCCACGTTACAAATAGCACACAAAGGTAGACAGGAAAATGAGAGAAGAGAATCAATTGAGTTTTGACAAGTATAAGAGTGAAACAGAATGAGGAATGGTAGAAAGAAATATGAAAGATTACAGAGACTGAATACATCTGCATAAGCCATTGACAACGATTTTGAGTCATGTCACCTATTGTCTCCAGCCATTGATTCTTAGAGTCCCGAGGGCGGGCCCCAACCCGGAAGTCTGCATCTCCCTACCTGACTCAGTTTAACTGTCAGGGATTTCATGGATTGATGAGGCCATGTTTTTGTTTGGCCACCACTTACTCTTTTCCAACCTGCACCTATATCAGCTAGTAATGCCCGTCCGTCGGGTGAGGCGATGGTTAGGCATGCGCAGCACGTGGCCTAACCATCTCAATCTATGTAACTTCATAGCCTCTTCGAGTGATTTTCCCTCTTTGCCCAACCAACACTCTACGCCTAACGTCAACATTACTTACCTTATTATACCACCTAACGCGAGAAAGAGATCGTAAACATCTGTGGTCAAAAACAGACAATCTCTTCATGTCTTCCGCTCTCAATGGCCACGTCTCACCGCCATAGAGAAGGACGGAGCGAACTGCTGAGCAGTATACACGTCCCTTGGTTGACAGCCGGATGTCACGCTTACGCCAGAGACGGTGTAAGTTAGCGAAAGCAGCCCGAGCTTTCTGGATCCGTGCTGTGATTTCGTCACCAATCAATCCGTTGGTGCTGATACAACTTCCCAAATAGGTGAAATGGTCAACATGTTCTATCACTTCACTCCCTATCACTAAGCTAGGAGTTGACGTAGTCCACTCCTGTAGCAGCATCTTACATTTCACAGGGACGAATCGCATGCCAAACATACGAAGATTGCTGCTCAGGGTCTTCAAAAGACTCTGTGTATTTACTCAACATCTTCACATAAAAAGGTTGCGTTGTCTGAGTAATGTAAATCCAGGAGATCTTACCCTACTAAGCAGGCCAATTTCCAATAAGGTCAGAATTATTTTGATTGGACACTAGTAACTAGTGTGATGTGTCTTATCCTTTCTTTGGTGTAGACTGAATTCTATCAGTCAGGTTTTGCAATGTGGCCACCATTCTAGGTAACTCGCCATCACGGTGCACACTGATTTGATGATATATTAGATAGTTGGAGGCAAAGAAAGGACTAGACACGTCACACTAGTTACTAGTGTCCAATCAAAATACCCACTACAGTCCTAGAGGAGGTCAATCGCGAGTTCGAATAGCTCAGTGGTAACGTCTCTGACTGCAATACTCCCTGAGTGACGCGGGTTCGAATCTCAGGAGGGACATGACTTCTTCCCTTCAAGGTTGCAGATACACCTGCCTTGCTGACTGGTGAGTGCCAACTAGCACGAAACCTAGGTCCCGGCAAGGCTTCCTGCCGATTGCCTCCAACTATCTAATATATCATCAAGGCCACAATTAAACAGTTACATCAATCAACATGTCTGAAATAAAGCTGAATCAGAGTGTTGGCATTTGGTAACAAATTAGGCGAAAGATATAAGCTCATATGAGTAATTTTTGGAATTTGACACCAATCAAACAAAACACATGCAATACTGTGAGAAAGAAAACTATCAGTAGAAAAATTCTTTTATTCCTATTCCACAAAAATTTACAGTTTTTTTAAAGAATAGTTTAATTTTTGTACAACATATCGGAGTAATAAATGTCACCAGACACAATACTGTCATAACTTTGTACTTTGTTGACTTCGAAGCAATGAAATAAATCTCACTGTGTAGGTCGTGGTGGGTACTGTTCACTACTTGTACGTGGGATGTTTGCCAGCGGTGTCTGCTGCTGCGGATATGCTTCTGAACTCATTCGATTAGATGGGATGTTTTCAACAGAGCTAGAAGATAAATATTGATTATACTGGGCAGGGACATAGTGTTGTGTTGGCATAGAAGGAGAAACTGAAGAATGTTGTCCAGATGAAGGGTGATAGACATCTAACGATACATTAGGCTGTTGGCGTCTATCAACAACAGGTGAACGAGTTAATGAATTAGGATGAGAAGTATACGAAGGTCGATTGTTTGAGTGAGGATAGCCACGGTTTTCTTCATTCGATGAAAAACAAGACGGTAATGTGTCCAATGAATGTTGCTTTTGGTTTGTATCGTCAACAGACGGTGAAATACTCATACCAGAAGGATGAGAAGATGATGTATTTAAAGACATCATCGGTACGGAACTTTGATTTACGACTGTACTTGTTAGTGAGTAAGGAGTGGAATTTTGACAGCTATCACTTTTCTCAGTTGTAGAGGTCAACATTGGATCGTTTACTGTGCATTTATCCTTTCTGCTGGTTTTTGTGACCATTCCACGCAATTCTTTTTGCAAATGTCGAATGGCTTCTACAAGAGTTTGAGCTTCATGAGATACTTGATCATGATCTACAGCACCATAATTCATAGCAGCCGGGGTAAAACATTCAGGAGGAAGACCAGCCCAGGATTCCAAATTATTTAACTGGAATTCAACCTCATTTAATTGACAGAATACGTCAGCCAAATGACTTTTAAACTCGTCAGCATTGTAAGTGAGCAAGCTGTAACAATAAAATAACTTAATTTTAACTCAAAATATTTTCGTAAAAACTGGTTGGTATAGTTTTTCTATTAGAAGTGGCCTTGAAAAACAGGCTGCATAGAGCATATTCTAGGACTGCTGCGCTCACCCTGAAGAAGCCTGGAAGAATATTCAGTCAGCCATAGATACAGCTGTAAAAGCTGTGAATAAGGTAAATCCAAAGGTGAGTAAAAACCATTGAATTTCGACTGCCTCATCCTAACTGATAGATGCTAGAAGACTTATTCCGGCGAGCTCCGAATTCAATGAGGAGCGAAAGCTGCACAAAAGTAAACTTACGAAAAGTTTCCTCAAGGACCATGAACAGTGGTGGGTGACAAAGGCGAAAGAGATGGAAAAAGCATCGGCGATAGGCAACACTAGGCAACTCTTTAGACTCATCAGGGAAACGGGTGAGAGAAGGCAAATCATAAGTGAGACTATTTCTGAGAAAAATGGCTCCTTAATTAGCTACCAGGATAGACGCCTTGAACGCTGGAAAGAACACTTTGAGGAACAATTTAACTTGCCTACAGCCACACTGAGCCTCCCCGCCATCCAGCAAATGGGATATAGACACTGGCCCGCCGTCTGTAAGTAAGTAAGGACTGAAGAGTGCACAATAACACTGAGGCTATCATACATTCCCTTTTAAGAAGCTACTAATTAGATTCTTCAATTGACCTCAACCAATGTATCATATGAGTTAGACTGTTCGCAGAATTCTGCTCATAAGTATTACATTCAAACTCACTTTATTCAATACGACTTGGGAACAGTGACATCGTCTCATCAATCCTCAAATTGCAGGTAGCTAAATATCACTGGAATGTTGACTGACACAACAGAATCGACCAGACTCTCTTAAGATATGAGCTCCCTGCACAGAGCATTTACATAATCTGTGCTAAACTCGTCTCTATACATCTATAAAGGAGATAGCGATGCATGTATGTTTCTGTACCCTGCAATTCAGTGACCGTTGACGTCAAGTGCTAAAACGTTAATCTACCCCCCCCCCACACACACACACAGTCCAGAAAATAAATATCCATTGAATGACACATGGCCTCTAGATAATTGTTTGAGAGAAAAACTTCACAAATTACTTCCATTCTGCATGATGACTGACTTATATTGTACTGTGTAATCTGTGGATGGGGACGAGGAAATTGCAAGACGAAAGCTAAGAAATGTTTCCCATACATACTGATAATGCTGGAGTGAAACCAGCAATAGATATAAAGATGAAAAAAAGTTACTATGCAGAAATTCATGATTGTATAACGTGAAAAAAAATGTCCAGTGATATATTATGGTTACAGCAAGCAGTGTGTGTAAGTTTACCTTATCACAATAAATGTAGCTTACTAGTCTGTGTTCGACTCTTCAGTAATATTTCATGAGTTCGAATTTCACCACACCTACTACTCTGATTACGACAAATCTGTCTTCGGGTACCTGCAACAGAGTTTGTTGCTTCATTTCATTTATTGTGTTGCAATTTCCTTCTTTCTTCCCTTCCTGATGATAGGTAACGAATACTGTTTGAACTTGTTAAACATGACTGTTTTCCTTCCAGATGAAGTTCTTTATCCGTTTTCTACTTATATTTTTACTTTTAATCTATGTTGTTTTATTATTATTGTGTGGCGCATCTTTCTTGGTGCCATATTGTACCAAGTTTTTTCTGCGTTTAAATAATAATACCTGCAACAGAGAGAGGGTTAGTGTTGCGTGACCGCAAAGCCCAGGGGGCAACTGCTTGAGGCCAGCCGGTCACACATGGCCTGTATGAACTGTTTTCTTGATTTGGTTCCGTATTAGCAAACTTACCGCCGGTTATGGACCACCGTAGGGTAAGTCGGGATGTGCAATTTTCGGGGTCGACCTTTTCTAATCCCTCCTCTCCAAAATGGAGAAACAGCATAGCTGGCCGGCATGCTGGTCATCTGAGGGAAACACCTCACTGCTGTTACATCCCTGTTCCCCAGCAGTACGACTTCGCCCACAGACCCCCAGCACAGTGTAAAACAAAACTCTTACACTATGCCGGCAACTGCTTTTAGTCTAATCGCTATCCTAACAACCTTCCTGGCATGGTAGGACCTGCAGGAACAATAGTCCCAGCCAGTATAGCTTGTTGGGTCATTGCGATGTGCAAGCCCGATCACCACGTCAAGGTAGCAGCTATCGGTCAGGATTACGACAAGTAGATATACCATCAAATACTTAAATAATGAAATAATTCCCAGAGGTCTCTTACTAATATCTTAAGCAGAAGAAATTGAAAGAATGAGCCACAATAGTATCTTGCAAAGCAAAACAAAAACTTTCAGTACAAGTATGAATGATGCAACTTACTTTCCTAAATCACATTCCATTTTCTGTACAATGACTGTATGATAGTGTTCTAATAGAGCCTTCCAAAATAAAATAATAATAAATAAGTAAAGCACGATTATTAAACCAACCTACCATAACCTTTTCTTTAAGGATATTTAATGAGTTACAATACCTGTCAACCGCTGTATCACCACCACGGTTGGTGCTCTCATTCTGCATGTAAACGGACATTAGAAAATCACAGCTTGAATTTAGAAGTTAGACTGCACACTCAGGTTGTGAAACATCGTGTCAGAAAAATCTGAAGTGGCCTCGTGTACTGTTCTAACTGTACTGATCTAACCAACTGAGTGCAGTGTGTCCTACAAAATGGAATGTAACGCAAATTGAGTCTAAAATAAATATACGCTGAATATCATGAGGCAGAAACAGAAAAGTGGGTGTTTGAAGTTTAATACATGCACAAGAAAAATATACCATTGCCTATTATACCAAACATCGACTGTTCTATTCTTATCGTTCACAAATCTAAGAAAAGACTATAAACTCGCTCTATCCTATCTTTTCCTTTTTAATATGCCACGTCACCTATTTCTACTACTCCTCGCCCTGAGGTGATTTAGTACGAAATCATCGTCATCATACGAAGTTGTGTCATCTGTATTTACAGCCGTCGAGACCTTGCTACTAAGCCCGGTCGTTTTCTCTATCCCACAGTTTTTCATCTTCCTGCTTTTCGGCGCCAACCAAGTGGAGTTAGTTTCTTCTCCCTTTCCCTCACTGCAGCTAGAAGCTATTTGTTCACCAGACACGCTGCGCTTTGTCGTGGTAGTCTCACCAGGTAGTCTTACAGTGTTTGGCACTACTTGCCCTCTTTGAGTTTCGGGACTTTGCATATCGTTGCAGATTTTCGACCATGCTCTACCTCTCTTGTGTTTAGCGCTTAAGGATGTAGTTCTGTCTCAGTCTTATGACTAAGTCCAGGATCGTCATTCCTGGCATCGACTTTCCTCATCTGGACTATCTGTCAACTTCTTGGGCATAAGAAATTCTACGACCTCTTGGATGAGGGCATCCAACGGGCTGCTGCGAAATTCTCATAACCATGGAGACGATGGCCTACTACATTTCAGATCCTTATGGACAATTTGCAGAGCATCTGTTAGAATCACCAGAGATATGTTCACCTCCCTACATAAATCTCTGGTGGAACCGAGAATGGAAAACGGTGTCCAGGCAGCCATTCTTTGTCTTAAATGAGACTCATATTCTGGAAGGGGTTCAGAGGAAGGCACTACGCATGAATCCTGGCATGACTAATTTATCGTACCAGGAAAGACTACACAATTTAAATCTCTTCTCCCCATCATACCGTAGGAAGAGAGGAGACTTAAGTAGAATGATAAAACTGTAAATAATTTGTGACCCCATCTATTTTTTCTTTTTCTTCCCCACAGGTCGGAACAATTTAGAAGACATAGCAGGAGAGTTCAATGAGAAACTATATTACTGTGGTGTATTGGTTCTTACATTGAGTAAACAACCCCTGGAACCGACTCCCAGAAGAAGTGGTGTTAGCAACCTTAATTGAATCACTCAAGAAGGGTTTGGGCAGGCACATAAATTTACTATGAAACGACTAACATGGGCTTCAAGCTTTCTATTCTCAGTCAACAAATCTGAATCTGATAGGCTGATGGTGAAAAGTCAGTGCAAACTTTATGAGCAAACCTTAGTTTACTAAGGAGACCTAAGTGGGATACTTTGCCAAATGCCTTGCTAAGATCAATAAAAACCACGTCCAACAGAAGGTTTTTATCTCTGGCCTCGACCCAATCTTCCCTAGCTAACAGTAAGTTTGTCAAACAGGATCGTCCTGGTCGGAATCCATGCTGTTCAACTACCAGTAAGCCATGTGTTTCAACATAAGCTAATAACTGATCCCTTATAATAGTTTCCATTACCTTTGCTACAATGCATGTCAGACTTACCGGCCTGAAGTTAGATACCAATTGCCTGTCCCTCTCTTTGAAGATAGGGCTTATAATGGCATCCTTCCAGTCCCTGGGTAGCTTAGCCTGGGTTAGCGACATTTGGAAAATCTCCACAAGCGGAATATATATTATATCCGCCAAAGAAATTAACAGTTTAGGGTGAAGTCCATCAGGCCCAGGCGATTTACCTGGCTTCAGTTTAGACAGTAGTTTGAGGACCTTTGTGTGCACTACCACAATTGAGGGCATCTGAGAGGCGATGGCAGTGACCTCGCCATATCCCTGGGTGGTACTGTCAGACGAGAAGACGTCACAGAAGTATTCAGAGAGGTTTCCAGCCTTTCCTTCGTCTGACTCAGCCACTTCTCCACTAATGCTTATGAGTGACGCTGTACCATTGCAAGTTTTAGTCCTACGTTTAATATATGAGTAGAGCCTTTTTGGGTAATGAACACAATCTAGTACAAGCCGTCTCTCGTACTCTATACGACTCTTGTTAATCGCATACTTACAGAGATTTCAAATAATATAAAAAGCACAAGGTCAAAAAAGTGAACAGAAACCAATCCCTCAACTAAGTATATCAGTTAAAGCAAACCGAAAAGCTTCCGATGCGATGTACACAACAGAAGCAGAAGTTACTTCACAACATAATAAATATCACTCCTCTCCAAATCACGCGGGCTGTTAACATAGAGAGCTGATTAAACTTTACGCACCAGTCCGTAGCATTGATTTGGCGCTGCACAAATGACCTTGAAAAAACGTTGGTGAAAACTGGGTAATAATATTGTCGACATTAATAAGATATGACTAATGGATTGTAGTGTTATTAAATGGGATATCAGGTGAGTTTCAGGTCTGCTTTGGGAAAAGTGAACTGAAGGTCCAGAGTTAAGACATGTTAGGGTTATGATAGAGATTTGTAGCTCAGGTGGATGGTTTTGATGTGGTTGTGTTAATTTGCGAAGCTTCTCAAATTAACTATCCAGCTCAGAAAACACAACCACATCAAAAACATGTTAGGGTTAAGTTAACCTTATGAGGGCGTCATCGGGGTTGGTTTAGTGATATTTACATGTTTGTGTAAGGTTATGCAAAGATTAGTCAATTCTTCCATATGGGTCAGAAACTTGCACTGTGTGTCATGACGAGGATTTCCAAACAAGTTATGCACTTTTATCAACAGCCAACTTCACTGGCTCCACACTAAAGATCAGATGGCAGGCCCACCAAAAATAATTAACAACAAGAAACTCTGGTAACAAACTAACCGAAAACCTATGGCTGGACAAAAGTGAAGGATTAAAAGTGGAGATAGATAGGACGCACACTGAGGAGACGGCTGAATGACACTGCGCGCACTGCAGACCATTTCCTGAGTGGAATCCCCATAGGAAGCGACGAGTGGGTCGTCCGAGGGTAATATGGGGGGAGATCGTATGGCGAGGGGAGAGGAAAGAATATAGTCAGTCGAAGGCACATGTGGAGAGGACAGTGGGGAGTAGAACCAAGTATGGATATGTTGTTGAAGGCCTACGTCCCACTGGAAATCCAAGGGAATAATAACCCAATGATTGTACGCAAATATCGCCCTTATCATGCAGTTGGTGTGCTCAAGGTCATTTGTCCTTCTGTACATAGTGGTGCATAAGGTCTAAACTCACGAATCTGAGATTTTAATACGATTTTATCAGTGGGGTTTTCGAAAGTGGTTTCCTAAATGGATGCAGTCAACCAAGGCTAAATTATGATTACTCTACACCACAGCAGCCAGAAACGAAACGACCTAACAGAGACCTTGGTGAATCTTCATCGGCCAGTCAGATGCACCCGAAATGAAAGCGCTTTGTTCGAGAAGACGTTAACATCAGAGTAATGCCATGTTAAAAAGCAGTTACGTAGGACTAAGTACTCATGTTTTTTCCAGATAAACCTCCCACTATGTCACGGGAGTCCTCATAGTTAGGACAAACCGATTCCGGTGCAAAAATTCTTTCAGTTGACCGTATATCTTCGTGTTTCTTGACCTATTCATCGCCCTGATCTTGATTTTTACGTGTCCTTGGAAACTTTGGATGGGCTTTTGAGAGTCCTATCGAAAAGACTAACGAAATCGTCCACATGGTTGACCATCCCTTGAATATAGCCCAGGGATGACAGTTGGCTACACGTGTTCTGCCTTCCAGTGAGCCTGTTGTCCAGGCAGTACTCAAATGATAGATTTGGATGAAATTTGCTGCGCTGTTAGTATACACCGTCTACAATTCCGCCTACATACCACAGGCTCATCTGACTGATCGCTCAAGGTCACTATTCAGTTAATTTGGTGGTTTCGTGTTGGGCTGCTATAGTTCAGAGTCACCTAGACTATTATCAATATGAAGTATGCGGCTCCAATGTTTTAGAAGTAGTGAAGCCTACTAATACGACAGACTCATTCTACTGCAAATACGCCAACCAGATGTGGTGCCAGTCGTCAAGCAATGATCTGAAACAGAGAGCAGGGCACATGTTGGCTAGGCGGTCAAACATTGGTGCCACATGCTAGTAAGAAGGAAGACTCAGGGTCAGTGGTTGCATTTACAACCAATTATAATACAAATGGGTGGGGGGAAGAGTTTTCCTATCGGTCGTCCGTCGCGTCGCCTTGGGAGACCAACCCCTGCACTCCACGCGGTGAACCTAAAATTAGACAAGCATACAGTTTAAACATTGGAAAAACGCTTGACTTACCACGCCTTACACAGAAGAGATTAGAGCTTCGCGGGCAATGCTACGAGTCTTCAATATTCAACAACTACGGTGTAAGGCTGTACGGCATGATACTGATAAAGCGAGGACTGTGGATAATAATATTCTCAGAGTCGTTTATATTTCTGGTTCCGTTCCCCAGACTACCCAGATTTCAATCCTTTTGGTGGGTCACTTAGTCCTGGTAAGCTCCCACCATATATGTATGTTTGATTAAATCTTATTAGTCCATTATTCATAGAGTAATGAAACACTCAACTTCACTGGAACTTGTCATACAAATCCAGAACAAGAGGCATAGTTTGACCAGATCTAACTGCTTGTCGAAAATCAATTATTCTCGTGGCTGCAATAGTTGAACCTCTCCAAGATGATGATAACAGTGAAATCAGAAAATATGACAGCGCTAACGTAGCAGGGAAAATTGCGATAGTCTGAGGAATAATCTTGTGAAGTAATTAAAAACAAGTCAGAAACCAACCAGGTATGTCACACCAGCAGGGTATTGTTGAAAGATGCTGTTTGAAGCAACTTCATATTCGCTTATTTGAGTTACCAGTTGGTTGAGTGTGGTCTCTGCGTCGCAGCTTGATTATATAACAGTCGTCGAT